AACGAAATTTCCTTTCCGAGGCTTTGTGTCAGCCCAATCACATATTGTGTCAATACTTATCATTTTATCGTAATTTAAAAACTTGGAAATTGCACGGTACACTATAGGAACTACGATAAATTTTCCCTAATCGGCGCCATGTTTTTAGGCTCCTCCCATTTGACGGATCCCAATAGACATCGCTGTACTGATTATACGGATGCATGTTTGCATTTTATTTCAAAAAGTACAGAATGAACTGCCAACAATTTTATTATTTTGGGAATGTTATCAGTGAGCTAGCTCTACAACATAGCAGGGAGATGACTGCGAGTCGCGGAATTGAATTGCACTGAACAGACATACGTACGCGTATTTGCGTATGAGGCCGCGATACGAAAAACAGTTGAAGCAGGTCACGTTCGTAATTTACATTCGAATACAAATTTTATACCTGTGACGAGTTACGTGTCTAGTTATGAAATCGGCGTATTTCTATCTAATGTGTAAACGTAATAGGTACACATGTATTGAACATGTTCGTGAACCAAGGTGCGTGTACGTATCTTTTGAACTAAGCAAAAGAAAATTATATCGAATTTTCTTTCGTGCTCATGTCTTCCATCGAATCGAATTATTCGGATCACATATGCAGATCGCTTGGATTCTATATTCCTTTGCATAGGTTCCTTTTTCGTTCATTATCTATTTGTCGTGTTTATCAGGGGCGCAACAAGGGGGGATCGACCGGTGCCCGGGCACCCACTCGATTGGATTGGGCACGCAGTCAATTCCAGTCGATTTAGATAATAATATGACCACACGTCCCGGATTGGCCGGGATAGTCCCGGATTTTTCTAGAAGCAATATTTGTCCCGGATTGTCCCGGATTGTCCCGAATTTTTGAAAAGGTTCTTATTTTCAATATTTATTTTAACTACATTTCAACTAGATTTATTTTTACAAAATTTGAACCGAAAAAAATTGTGCATATCAGAATACGCGGCACGCTTTAAACCATTTAAAGCATACAGTGATCGAAAGAGGAGGTCACCCCCATCATTGTACCATAAAAAGTTCGTGGCGGTCTCACCCCCATAAAAAGTTATGGGGTTCAAAGTTAATAAATATACCAATTTTTATACATTTCTAGACATGTAAATATTTATACAGTCATTCTTAAACAATATTCAAAGGTAAAGCTAATGAAAAATACATAAAAATATTGAGAAAGTTATATAAAACATTATTTAAATATCTTTATCAATAGGGGAGGTTAGGTTAGGTTAGGTTATCGGGTTTTGTTCAAGTGACCACCCTCTTTCGAACCCCCTTACCTCCAGCCGCTTGAAAATATTTTTTTTATTGAATTTTATTTGAATTATAGTGTATGAAAACTGACAAAATAATCAACTTTCAACCCCCACAACTTTAATTAGGGGTGAGACCGTCGCAAATTNCAAAAATTACAATTTTCGATTGTAAATGATTGAATTTGCCGTAGAAATAGTAGAATTTATTAGGTATAACTTGTAATAAACTTAATTTTGACATGTTTTTTTAAAAACTATTTTAAGTTTCTTAATTATTGCAAGTAAATTTGTAATATCAACTAAGATACCTAGTAAATGTATTTCTGTTGGTATTTTATTTGTATAAATATTGCAGACATGAAACAAACATATCTTAAGGGTCCGTTGGTGAGTTTCGGATAGGGTGTTATAGGTGGATGGGAAGAGGTCAGAAAGGAGAAGGACAACAGAAGGCGCTGTGGAAGTCAATAATTAATAGGAGAGATATGATGATCGGTTGGTGGGATACCTTCTAAAAAACGAAAAATTTACGTCGTTAAATTTATTAAATGCACAAATAGAAGGAAAATTAAGAAGTTAGAATACTGTTTACAACAATTTTAGTTAGAAATATGGGATATTCTAGTTTCCGAGGAATGCGAAAAAATAAAAGTGTGTTTCTACTGTTTAGACATCTTTCGGACTGACATAGGGTCCGATGATGGTGAAATTAAAAATGTTTAAAGTAGTCTTAGAAAATAATTGTTAACGTCAGTCCTAAGACTGGTTGTTGTCTCTAGACTAGACCTTCATGCCTGAAAAGGCGTTCTACCAACCTATCTCGCCTATTAATTTATTAACTTCCATAAAGTCCTCTGTTCTCCTATTCTTTCTACTATAATACTTCTTAATTTCTAACCTTTTCTATCCACTGTATCCTCATCATTCGCCGGTAACACCACATTTCGAATGCTCCAAACTTTTTCTTTTCCGCCACGCCCACCGTCCATATTTCGCACCCGTACAGCGTCGCACTCCAAATATACACCTTTAACAACCTTTTTCGAATTTCTAAATTTACCTTTCGCGAACATGGAAATGACTTCTTATTATTGAAGGCGACTCGACCCTGCGCTATCCTCTGCTTTATATCCATACTATTCCTTCCGTCCTGACTTATCTGACTTCCTAGATACCTAAAACCAGTCATTTCTTCTAATTTTTCGTCTCCTATTTTTATATACGCTCTTTCCCTGCTTTTNGTACGTACGTACGTACGTACATACACACATCATCAAAAAAATTGGCTAGCATGCTACTAATATGTTAAAACGTGGAAATATAATGAAAATTCCGATTTCACTTTTCGACCCAATTACAATAACTTCCTAATGGGAAGTTAATAAAAGGAAAATTAAGAAGTAAGAATACTGTTTACAACTGTTTTAGTTAAAAATATGGGATATTCTAGTTTTCGAGTAATGCGAAAAAATAAAAGTGTGTGTCTACTGTTAAGGCATCTTTCGGACTGACAAAGGGTCCGATGATGGTGAAATTAAAAATATTTAAAGTAGTCTAAGGCTTACGTAAGTCCTAAGGCTGGTTGTTGTCTCTGACTAGACCTTCATGCCAGAAAAGGCGTCCTACCAACCTATCTCGCCTATTAATTTATTAACTTCCATAAAGTCCTCTGTTCTCCTATTCTTTCTAATACTTCTTCATTTCTAAACTTTTCTATCCACTGTATCCTCATCATTCGCCGGTAACACCACATTTCGAATGCTCCTAACTTTTTCTTTTCCGCCTCGCCCACCGTCCATATTTCGCACCCGTACAGCGCCGCACTCCAAATATACACCTTTAACAACCTTTTTCGAATTTCTAAATTAACCTTTCGCGAACATGGAAATGACTTCTTTTTATTGAAGGCGACTCGACCCTGCGCTATCCTCTGCTTTATATCCATACTATTCCTTCCGTCCTGACTTATCTGACTTCCTAGATACCTAAAACCAGTCATTTCTTCTAATTTTTCGTCTCCTATTTTTATATACGCTCTTTCCCTGCTTTTTTTTCCTTGCATACCAGTATTTTTCTGCTAGATATCACCTGCAAATCTAAGCATACTAATCTTTTGCCCCTCTATATTTATCAAATAACTTTTTCAGCATCCTGATAAATCTATGTTTTTAATAAATCGGTAATCCAATGAAAGTTGATAATTATTACCGAGCACTGTCGTGCCCCACACTTATCCACTTGAGAGATATATCTATCAACCGCCTCTTTAGCTGACCCTCCTGATTGAATTGTTATCAAAATTGAATTTTTTCGCCGGCTTTTTCTTTCCAAAACATTCGCAGCGCGTTGCTCCGGCTTGTCGGTTTCGTAGTTGTTGCGCAAGTCGCCGTCGCTCCTCGTCGTGAGCTTCCGACGCCGAATCGAGGGCGTCGTCGGCGTCGTCGACGTCGTCGTGTTGCCGTCTCCGCATTAGACACCTGTTCAGGTGAGATAGCGCCACCACGAAGTCCTATTCATTCAGTAAAACACGTTTCCGAGCTGCATCAAGGATTTTTCCGCAGTTTTCATTCGATTCAGTAAAACTAACGGGAACGGAGACCGATACAGGCAACAATATGGAACGGGGTGAGTAAAAAAGTTGACTTTCATTTTTTTAATGTCTATTTAAGCAATGCAGGAGAAGGGTTATATTCGTATGTATGTATGTGAGTATGTTTGTAGGCAAGTAATAATACAAGTAAATTACAAGCAGTGGGTGTCTAGGTGTCATGCATGAAACTTTATAACGACATCCCTAATTTACGAGAAAAATATTTATGGATATGTATAATATTTCCAATATTAATAATTAATTATTTACATTAACAACGCAAATAGATAGATACAAAAGGAGTTCTAGAACAGTTAGTTTTACTAACGATAATTGATAAAATTAACGCAAGATCATATTTTATCAATACCTTCAAATGTTTTATACCTCCAGAAAATGTTATATTTACTGTACGAACATTTAAAATCATAAACTAAACCTTTACATTCAGATTATACTTGTAAAGTGTTTCCATAATGTCGTTATACCTAGATAAAGAGTATATGTTAATAATTTTTCGCATTCATATTAATTTGTTAATTTCTAACTAATTTTGTCATAAAAAGATACTTTTAACAACTTATTCTTCAAGAATAAATGACTTAACCTACTCAAATATTTTTACTAATAATAAGTTGAGCACCGTCTTGATGGAGTTATTTTTGTGCATTATCAAACAGTAATAATATGTTACGATTTATAGTTCCATGGAAAAAATAAATTTTCGTCCTCTTAATTTCTTTTTATCATTAATCTGAGTAATTCAAGTATTTCAGGGTTATTTTAATAATAACCTGTTATTAGGTACCTATTTAACACTGCTGTAATAATACACAAACGCCTTAATGTATGAAGTGCCCTGCTACCTTCTTGCATCATTTTCAAGTTATGCGTGTTTACGAGGGTGGATTGATAAGTTTCCGGCCTGACCAAGAAAAACAAGGTTTTTAAAAATTTTTTTTTTTTATTTCTCAACATAATCTCCTCCAAGGCTGATACATTTCTCATAGCGGTGTTCCAGTCTATTAATGCCATC